AGAGAAACCCTGTCTCGAAAAACCAAAAAAAAAAAAAAAAAAAAAAAAAAAGAACTGGAAAAGATGCTATCTGCCAGTCTCAAATGTTGCCTGTTCATCATTAGAAGATTGTGTTCTTAGTGGAGGGAAACACACACACACACACACACACACACACACACACACACACACACACACACACTCTCTCTCTCTCTCTCTCTCTCTCTCTCTCTCTCTCTCTTTTCTGTTGCTGTGACTTAAAAAACACCCTGGCCAATAGCAGCTTAGGAAAGAAAAGGGTATATCTGGCTCACAGTTTCAGATTGGAGCACACTACTGAGGAGAAGTCGAGGCAGAACCTTCATGCACCATAACCACAGTCAAGAGCAGAGGGAGAGTAAACACTTGAATTTTGATTACTTGTTCTCAGGTAGCTTTCTTCACTCTAACTCATAGAAATGCCCCCTCATATATTTGAATGCTTGGTCATTGGGGAGTGGCACTTGAGAGGAATTAGGAAATGTGACCTTGTTGGAATAGGAGGAAGTATGTCACTGGGATGAACTTTGGGGGTTTCAAAAGCCTAAGCCAGTCCCAGTAACTCTTTCCTTTCCTGCTGCCTGGAGATCTGACTGTAGGATGCTCAGCTTCTCCAGCACCATGCCTGCCAGTGCACCGTCATGATTTCCACCATGACAACAATGGACTAAACCTCTGAACTGTAAGCCAGGCCCAATTAAATACCTTCCTTTGTAAGAGTTACCATGGTCATGGTGTCTCTTCACAGCCACAGACTAAGATGTTGGATGAATGAACCATCAAGCCAATCCTCCACAAACATATCCACAGGCCAATTAATCCAGACAGTCCCTCATTGGATTCCCTTCCCAGGTAATTAATTCTAGGTTGTATCAAGTTGATAGTTAAAACTAAGCAACACACAGAGTTGTGATCACATATTCAGCTTCCCAGATAGACTAATGGATAAGGGAAATATCTGGCATACCTTGGGGGAAAAGTCAATTTCATGGATCAAAAAAGACCATTTTAAAACTAGACATAGAGCAAGGAGAGAGGAAAGTCAAATGGTGTTGTCGAATTGGACACAGAAATTTTATTATAACAATGAAAACTCTAAAGATGCGCACAAGGCCGGCAATGGCTAAGCGTGCAAAGGCTGTGAAACTTGATGACCTGACCTGAGGTCAATCCCAGAAACCCACAGAAGGAGTGAGAGGACAGCTCCCAAAAGCTGTCCTCTGACTGTCACAGTGCCCTATGACATGGGAGCACACATCTGCCACCCCAACTATTAAACAAGCAAGTGCAATGATAAAAACTTAACATATGCACAAAACAATCACAGTGTCAACGGAATGAAATAAAACAGGATTTCTGACAATTAAAATAGTCAACATACAGAATGGAGGTCAGACACCACTAACAATGCAACAGTATAGGTTCTGGATATTCAAAGAAACAGATGATAGAAGGAAACCCCTGATACATTCACTGTAGCATTAAAAAAAAATCAAAGCAAATTTGGAGGAGAAAAGAAAGATTTTCTTTGAAACATGACATAGGAAAAAATGTCACAAGGATCGCTGCTAAGGTTAGTAGAAGTTGGTCACTTCTACCAAGTAAGACTGAACTGAATTTGGGGTGACTTCATCACTGTTTTCAGAATTTTCTTTCTTTTTTTAAACCAAGGACTGTGCATTAGTTAAGAACAGGAAGACTGGTTCAAAAACACCCTGTAGTTTGCTTTCCCAACCTAAGGGCTCCTCGGCATGACTGATACACCTCCAGAATAATCCAAGATGATCCATTTCCCACCAAGGAAATGGAGTAAGGGCCAGGCTTCAGCCCTCAGCCACCTCCCCCATAGCTCACACACAGGACAAAGCACCTGTCTGCAGCTCTAAAGCTACAAGGGCCCAGGCCCAGCACCACCCCCTCACAGCGGGCAGCCTCATTTCCTCTGAGATAAATCATACAGAGGACTGGAAGGCCCCACAAATCCCTCCAGCAAACATGCAAGTCAAACAGCACCATTTACCCTGTAAGGGCCTCTTCAGGTTTACAAGGCCTGGGAGGAACCAGGCAACAAAACTAGCCTTGTCCAGAGAGGCTGACCTCTGCCTTCAGGCCCCGTGTGGAGCAAGCCTATAGCCATCCCACACCACCTCCCCCTCTGTTGGTAGCCTTCCCACTACCTGGGCATCCTCTGTGAAGCTGAGAAAGTCGGCTGAGTAAAGCAGGGGGCCCAACAGCTTGTAGCCAACACAGCCTCTCCCTCTGGCAGCTTAACCTTCTGTTGGTGGGTTCTAGGCTAGCCCTTGATGAGAACACAGTGTAACTAATCAGAGCTGGAAGCATCTGAGACCAGGACCAAACACAACACACCCACAAGGGCCACAAGTACTCTAAAAGAAAAGGAAGTGAGTAATGACACAGGAGTGAGGGGGCAGGGAGGGGGTGAAAGAGTGGGCAAGGGTAACACGTCTAAATGTGTGAACACTGTAGGTGTCTTCACAGGATGAAAGACAGGAAAGTTTATGCCCCCAGGAAGAGAGATCATCATCATCATCATCATCATCATCTTCTTCTTCTTCTTCCTCCTCCTCCACCTCCTCCTCTTCCTCTTCTTCCCCCTCCTCCTCCTCTTCTTCCCCCCTCCTCATCCTCTTCTTCCTCGACAGAGGGTCTCCTGACATTGCTCAGGCTGGCCTAGAGCTCACAGTACTCTTGCCTCAGCCTCCCAAATGCTGAGACTATAGTCATGAGACACCATGCTCAATAAAGGTTTTTTTAAATAAAATTTGCCAGATGGTTTCAAGGTTTGTCTGCATGTACTATTTTCGTGTGGAAGAATATGAAAGGGTTGGACCACATTGTACTTTTTATTCATTGATGGATGGACATCTGGGTTATTTCCACTTCTGGGACACTCGCAGCAATGCTACTATAATCCCACGCCCCTTAAGTTTCATGTGAATACCTATTTTCAGTTGTGGAATGGCTGGGCCACACAGTTGTTGCATTCAAAATTGTGAAGAATTGTGCATGGCTTCAATCAATATCAATCTCTGTCTGTCTTTCTCCTCCCCACTCTCTGTCTCTCTGTCAGTCTGTCTGTCTTTCTCCTCTCTGTCGACCTCCCCCTGCACTCTGTCTGTCTGTCTCTATCCCCCCCCTTCTCTGTCTCCATCTTCTCTACTGTCTGTCTCCTTCCTACTCTGTCTCTGTCTGTTTCCTCCCTACTCTGGCTGGCATCCTTTCTACTGTGGGAATCTGGGAAGAATGATCTCCCAATACACATTCACACACTTAGCCCTCCAATCCAGGTTTGTTTGGGAAGATTCAAGGTTGGTCTGTGTTCCTGAGTGACTGCAGCGCAAGAGAACATGGACCTCACTGTGCAACCCAGGATAGCCTTCTACCTCAGCTAGGATTATAAAGATGAGAAACCCCATCTGTCAGATTTTCCCTTATAATACTTTTAGAAAACATTTTCCCTCATCAAAGGGGGTGAAGGAAAAATAAATGACTGGTTCAGGAAGCTAGAGAAAACCTGTAAAATGAACCTGGGATGGCTAGTAAGCCAGAGCCCAAGGTGAGAAAGGGATACAGGAGCAATGTCAGAAGGAAGGAGAAGGAAGATTGAGGAACCAACACTGGCCAGAATGGGTTACAACTCAGAGACTAAGAGAGATGAAAGAGGGAGGAGAGAAGAAGCGGTGAACAGAAGCCAGGTGACGACAGTGGAGAAGCCTGGGAACACCAGCTCTAGAGTACCAAGAACTGTACCAGGAACGGGCCAGAACCTAGCCACAAATCAATCAATGGATTCAACATAGCAAGGCTTCTCTCATAGTCCAATCAAAGATGGGCAGACTAAATCAAACCATGGAGATAAGATACACCCTAGCCAGGGGCTTCTCATTAACCATCTGGTCTATAACTTTCCGTAGGACCAAGGTCATGAAAACCGAGGAAGGCCAGAAGAACCGAGGGAGACCATATGGACAAAGAAGGCTACTGCGTAGTACTTCCTTCTGAACTGGGTCCCTTACTAAGAAAACACATTCTTAGAGGACCAGATGGTTGAAGCAGGAGGGATGGGAGATAAGAAATGGTGAGTGAGAGGTGGGAGAGATGATCAGAGTGTGTTCTTCCAGTGATTAAGGAAAATCAACACAGTGAACAATAAATATGTGCTTTAAAAGGACTCTTCTTTCAGAAGACCCCCAAGACTTGGCTATCTAGCCCTTAGGGACTAAAACGTCTATGGGGAGAAACTTTTCCCTTGAAGCCTCAGATCTCCCATCTCCTGCCCTCAGCCTGTCAAAAGTCCTTCCAACATCTATGGTCATCCAGTCAGCTTCAGACTGGAAGGTCCAGGATGGGAGAACTGTCCAGCACCACTCACAGAAAACAGGGCTGACAAGCTGCTACTCAGGCTCCTGTCAGCGTGAACCAAGACCTGGGCAAAAAGCAAAGAACACATGGGGATACAGGAAGAAAGAAGGCCACGTGCCAACCAGAAAGATGACAATGAGAACCATTCACTCGGCATTTGCAATGGGCTCTACTCCTTGCAACCTACATTCCACAAGACCCCTGCAAACCAAATGAGTCAATCCCTCCCTAATGCCCTGCTATACCCCAAGTTGCATGTCTCAGAGCACACCCCACTTGGCACTACCTGAAAAGCTCATGATGGGCAATTGTGTGTTTATGTGAGTAGTCTGTCTTCCTCATAGGAAATAGCTTCTAGCAGAGCAAGATGGCTTGTTTGCCAATATCCAGAGTCCTCAAAAGAGACAGACTTTCCAGAAATACTTATTAATGGTCATACAAATAAACAATTGGGTGGAAAGTATTTGGATGGATGGATGGATGGATGGATGGATGGATGGATGGATGGATGGATGATTGAATAAATGGAAGGACAGGTAGGTACTTAGATGGGCAGGGAGGTGGCCAACTTTGGCTTGCCCCTGGCTCTGTAGTCTTACCTGCTGTTGTTGGGCCCGGAGGTCACCTATCTCCTTCTGGTCCTCCTCCCTGAGTCTCTTCATATCCTCCCAGGACTGCTGTAGAAGATTCCGCTCACGCAGCAGCTTCCCGTTCTCCCGTCTCAGCATGTCCACGTCATCCTTCAGCTGAGTCTGGTCACTCAGGAGCCGACTGTGGAGGGTGCTGAAACCCCATAGACACATTTAGTCCTTACCAATTTCTTCCCCGCACCCCATCTACGGGAACCATTAGCTCCAGGTCCCCAAAGTGATCAAGACAATGGCTATAGAAGCCAGGCCAGCAGCACTCAGAGGGAGGTCAAACCCAGAGAACAAGTAAACTCCAAAAGACTCAACCCCAGTTCTGAAAATCCCAGCACCAAAAAGGATACAAATATCTCCAAGGAAACGAGACAGCCCCAACCTGTGCTTATATGTCCTGGGACCTATGGCAACATGGCAGGTACAGAGCAGACACCCTCTGAGGGAGGTCGGAGCCCCAAGGAGAGAACACCCAATCTGTCTGCCCATGAGAGCAGGCCCCAGTCAGAGAACTGGAGGGAGTGGGCTGCCTGAACCCCATCTTGTGTTTTAAATCTTTTTTTTTTAATCTACCAGCTTCTAAGGCTGACAACAATGCTGGGAGGGGCTAACAGACTCTTACACAGGCCACTTGCTAGACCCAGAGTCCCGGACTCTGTCCAGAAACTGAGAAGGGCAGAAGGTGGCTGACTACTCCACAAGTCCTGGGGCCCCTCCCAGCACAACACTCACTGATAGAAGTCTGTCTCCTTGGCCACCTCCTCGCACCTCTTCAAGGCGTTGGTGTGCTGGTTCTGTAAACTCTGCAGATCTGACATGGCCCGCACACACTGGATCTTTAGCCTCTCATAATCAGGATTCAGCCTGTGGTAGGGCCTGGCCCCAGGAGCAAAGAACCCCATGAACACAGGCCTTAAGGGTCACATGAATTCAGGCTGTGTCCTAGATCACCACAGAGCCAGTGGATGCCAGGCTCTGGCTGTGATGCACTGTGGCCTCCTGATGCTTACTAAACTTGCTATCCTGGCTTCAGGTAGCAGTCAGAGTGTCCACCTGGGGAAGCCCTGGCTTCATGGGCTTCCTCAATATCCTGGAAGGAGCAGACTAGCTCTCTAAGAATTTCCCAATAGTCGAAACCACAGGTCTGTGATAACATTTCTCATATCTTCAGAACAGGGACTCCCAATCCTGGGTGCCAATTACTTCATGGGTACCCAGAGCACATAATCAGTATTCCCAGGAGGGAGACCCAACATCAGGATGGCTTTATAAACTCCCTAGGGGATTCCAATGTGGTGCTAAGGTGAACACAAGAGCCATCAGCAGTGCTGATTAAAGTGCGGCTCAAAGGTCTCAGCACTGGTATCACATGAAAACTGAGAGAGACAGTCAAATCCTCAGGTCCTGCCACTGAAACCCAGACTCCCAGGATCTGAAGGGAAAAGGGGAACCCTGCATCCTGCGCTTCAATAGGCTCTCTGGGGGATGCTGGTGCATGGTTTCCTACAGCAGGCTGAGCAAATGCTTTCTGCCAAGGGAACAGATACTAAAACTTACAAAAAAATTTTTTTTCTTCAAAACAAAAGACAACAGGTAATATGTACCTTTATAAGATGCCTACGTGACAAGAACATGGAATAGGTTTACAAACCACAGAAAGCTCCAGCCAGCACCACAGCAGACTGTGGTCTTCAGGGAGACAGCATATGTATGTGTGCATGCCCATGAGCACATAGCACATACACAAGCATTTATGGCCCAGGAGTGGGATGCAGCAGAATGAGGACAGAGGGGAAAGGTTACTATTTCAGTACTGATAGCACAGGACCAGAGAGCAGCAGTTAAGAGCCCCAGGTCTTCTATAACGCACTAACAAGCACCCCAGTGATCAGGCCCCTCCAACTGCTACCATAAGCACCTACCACACAATTACCTGTGAGACAAGTACCAATGCCTAGGGGGTTGGTCTAGCTCCTCTACCCCAGGCTCATAACACAGCTGGCCTATCACAGAAGCTGCCAATTCTCAGGGTTTCCTCAAATGGATGATGGGAATACACATATACTCACCTAATTCCTAAACTCTGTGACTTGGATCATAGGCTCTTATTTTCACTTGGAGAAAGCATAAGACACACAAAGGAGGAGAGGGAGACAGAGACAAAGAGACAGAACCCTGTCCCCCACCAAGACCTTAAGGTTCTACAACTGGCTAGAATCCCAAGGACAGGTTGGACAAGGGACGCTTTGGAGGTGAAGCCTCCAGAAGCCATGGAGCTAAGGGGAAGTGGCTCACGGTGACACAGTGAGGTCAGGACAGTCCCTGGGGAGTTGGGACAATGACTACCTCTTGTCGAAGGTAGCTCCATGGGTGGCGAAGGCCAGGCGCTTGCGTAGCTCATTCCTCTCGCGGGTTATCAGCCGCAGCTGAATGGAGAGGTTCTCCACCTTGTCATTGACCTGCTGCTCAGTGAGGAGGGGTGGTGGGGATGGTGCCTTCCCAGTAGTACCTGTGGGTAAGTAAACATAAGAGAACATGCACTTGGGCACACTCCCAAGGTGTCAGCCCTGTTCTGACATCATGGCTAGTTCAGCTATTCAGGAAGCAGTGATGATCCCTAGGTCTTCTCATCGCCCACTACAAGGCACCAAGTAGGACCAGTCCCTGCCAGCTGCTGCAAGAACGCCCACTACTACTAAGTAGGTCCTATCTCAGTCTTTTCCCACAGATGAAGTTGACACTAGGGACTAGACCATCAGGTCTTGATCAAGGACCCTAAGCATACCCACTCTCTCCCTAGTCTGGATTTTACATCTCTAGGATGGAATTGTTGGGGGCACTAATCCTTGCCTATCCTGAGCATCTGGACATCTGGAAATGCTCATTATCACCCAGACCTGGACACAGCACATGATTAAAGAGGCAGGGCAGACTACCCTGTGTAGAAGAAAGCCTGTATGCCGCCATTAACCATGTGACTTACTAGAGGCGCATACAGATGAGGTAATAAAAGGGCGGTTTACCACACCGCTAACCACACCCACTTTAGGCATGACTAAAGACATATACGGCCGGACGTAAAGACGTATACGTACGTAGGCAGTGAACTACATCACTAGCCAGGCCCACTTTTGGGCATGGCTAGGGGGCGTTACGGGGGAAGGCATAAAAGACAGCACACAGGAAGTCTTGGTCTCTTTTCCCGGAGTTCGGTTTCCGGTTCGGCAGCGGAAAACTACTTGGCTCATCTGGGTTGCTTGTTTGGTATCTTGTGAGTAATTTCTACAATAAATACTTAGTTTTACTTTCAGTAAGTGTGTCGCTTATCGTTACAGCGTCATTTGGAGCATCAACCCTGGGCCACCACCAGAAGCCTCCAGAGAGGGCACACATGGAACAAAGTGAATACTACAAAGAGCAGGGCAGTTGGGACCCATGAGCTTTGTCCCCATCATCTCTCAGCATGGCTAGACAAGTAACTCAGCCCCTACTGCAGATCTACCGACTCTGAACTTGCCCAAACCAGCCAAGGCAAAGAAGCTTGGAGGATGCTGACAATTTGCAGCCTATGTGATGCAGGTAAATCCAGGGGCATCTGTGCTTAACCCACACCTGTCCTCAGGACCAACATTTGTATGAAGGACAACAGACACTGCTGCCTCTGACCAGATCCAAATATATCTCAGAATCCAAAGACAAAATACTTCCTAAGAATTAAACCATGGCCCTTTTATATGTGGCCCCATTGGTATATCAACCTGACACTTCACCTAACCCTTGGAGATCTGGGGTAGGGTCTGAGGAACACACAGCATCCGTCTCATTTTGTATTGTCATCAGAGAGGCTGACTCATTTCTGGCCCATGGCACTTGTCTCCTTGGTGACCCTGACATGCAAAGAACATGACATTTCCCTTTTATCTGTGAGGTCCTGCCCAACCTCTTCTGATCCTTGTTGTCTGATGGTTCATACAAACCAAATGTCAGTTAAATGAAAAGTGAGCCTTGTACCTTCCAGTGGCCCCAGGGAGGATGGGGAGTTCCATGTAGTCAGAGGGAACTGAATTTGCCGTGGTATGAGGTAGGGGGCCTCAAGCTATTACCCCAGCATTGTCAGCATCCCACATGAAGGTAACCCAACCCCTGAATCTAATACTCCTAAAACATATTCGAATTTGACTGAATCTGGAATAAACTAAAAGACATGCCTCTAGATGGGTCTGGAAGAGCATGTCCAGGAAGAATTGGCTGAGCAGAGAAGACCTGCATGCCCACCCCAGTGGACTGTAGCTCAGATATAAAGAAGCCTGGGGTGTTGGGGGAGCAGAGCTGCTGTGGGATGCCTGCCTTTGTTTTTTGCTGGTACTATCATCCTTAGCTGACATCAGAACCCAGCTTCGTTGTCCTTTAAACAAGAACTAAAAAAAGGCCAGTCACTATCCAGGAATCCCCCAGGCACTCAGCTCCAGTTCAGGGCTACTAAGGCAGAGCAGCATCGGAGCCAGCTGGCTACCCAGACACAACAATGAGGACTGTCATCTAGGGTATGCAGCCAAGGTGTCAGTTCTGTTCCATGCCACCATCCTCATCTCAATAGTTCTCCCGACTGCCCACCTGATGGAGAAGTCCTGTGTATATGTCAATAAAGCACTGTTGGCCAATAGGGAAGCAAGATAGGTGGGACTAGGAGTCCAGGAGGACTCTGCGTAGGAGAAACACAGGAAGTCAAGATGTAACTGCAATAGGAATAAGAAGCCCGGAAACTTTTCTCCAGTAAGAGAAATACTTAGATTAACAGTTATGGGGTAAATACTTAAGTCAGAGCTAGCCAGTAAGAAACAAGCAAGGCCAACAGCTTCATAATTAATACAGCATCTTGTGTGTTATTTGGGGCCTACAACGCAGCAGAGCCCAGGCAACTGGTGGGAAAAAAATCAAAGCGACAGAAAAGGAAAAGGCTTCGCTCTACACCCACCAGGGTTATCCTGGCATTACCCCTGAGCAACTGACGCCATAAAACCAGACAATGGCATGTGAGCTGTGCCCCCCCCCCCAGGCTCAGCTCTGACCTAAGATCCAGGCCTCAGCCACTACACCTCCCAATGGGACAGGACAGACTCTTCTCCTGTCTGCACTCCACTCTCACCCCTACCATCCTCCCCATCACCCACAGCAAACATATGTACCCAGGAAACATAACAAGACAAGGTCAGCCAGGCCTGGGACCCCAGAGAGAAGCAGCCTCCCTGACTTATCTCTGATGACTACTACAGCAATTCCTACAGAGCCCTCAAGACAACCCAAAGACTGTGTGGAGTCGGGGAGCTCTGAAACAACCTATGTGGAGTGGAAAAATACTCTCTATCATCCTCCGGTGAAAACAGTTTTGGGAACTGGAAAGATAATTCAGTCAATAGACTACCTTCTTAACAAACTCAAGGAACTGGGCTTGAATCTCCATAAGCCTTAGGAAACTGCCAAGCACAGTAGCATCTGCTGGTAATACCAATGCTGAGGAGGCAGAGACAGCAGGATCCCTAGGGCTAGCTGGCCAGGTGGCCTAGACTAACTGGCAAGCTCCAGGCTAATGAGTCCCTGCCTCAAATCAAGTATAGGGAGTCACACCAAAGGTTGTCCACTAGCTTCTGCACACAGGCCCCACATACACATCCATGCATAAGTATAGAGACTTTTATTGATTTTTTAAATGTTTTACATGCTTCCCAGGGTTGGAGAATGTACTGAGGATGGTGCAGCCCTACAGTGCAATGGTCACAGAGTCCCAAAGACCTACACACTAGTTTATTCTCCAACAAGAATGTGTATGCCTCAGCAGCAAGAGCAGCACAGACCCAGGTCCAGGTCTATAAACACAACAGCCACATGCTGGGGCTGCCTGTGAGTGTGAGCATGTAACGGCAGTAGCAAGGGACAGAGCATAACCATGCTCCACCCTCAAAATCCCCGTTCCTATGCAACTATGCACTGCGGGGTCAGTGGGCAGCTAGAATGGGGGTAGAAGACTGGCTGAGGGCTCTTTGCCTCTGGCTCCCTCATCCCTCCTCCCCACCCTTCTTCACTGCGAGCTGAATATTTGACTTCAGATTCCTGGAGCCTGTAGTGTCAGAAGTCAAGCAGAAAACTAGCACTAGTCAAAAGCAGTCAGGTGGGGGGTGACACCCAGGGGTCTGTCCTGACTGTTCTAGGCTCTGACTGTTGAAGGTTATACCATGAAGGGACAGCACATGGTCACCAGCCTCACCAAGCCAGCCTTACAGACAGCCCAGAACCAACCAGAGGTGGCAAGAAGGACCTGGTTCTTCTTTCTGGGCAACTGATTCTTGCAGTTCCGAAGCTGCACTGGGGAAAATGCATACCACCCACAGCTGCAAACACAGAAACCTAAGGGGATATAACCAGCAGAAACAGAAACACAAACACACACACACACACACACACACACACACACACACACACACACACACACACACACACACAAGTTTTGGCATCAGACACTATACCTAAAGGAATCCCCTCTGAAAAGTAGGCTCCTCCTCCTCCTAGCCTCTTTGCTGAAGTACATGAAAGTCAGAAGCCCTCAGCACAACCTAGCCACTTCCTGGCTCCCTGGCCAGACAATGCTCTGGAATCCTCCACTGGGATCTGCTTTTTAGGAACCAAGGCAAGCAGGGAAGACCAGGCTCAAGCCCCACCTCCCCCAAGAATCTCCCCACTCCCTGCTTAGACTCACTATGCCTTCCCCAGAACCATGCCTTTCTTGATGTATTCCACAGGAACTGAAGGCCAGTTTCCTTCTGCCTCTCATGTCTCTCTGTTCTCTAGTCTCTCAGTGTAGGGGCATTCATGGCCTTGGGAGCATACTCCCAAGTTACTCCTATGGTCACTTCCTGCAAGAGGAGAAGTGCTCCTACTAGGCAGCATCATAAATGCTAGAATGCCAAGGGCTCCCCCAGGATACAAAAGATTCCCCAGGGGCTGGGGAGGTAGCTCACCTGGTAGGGAACTTGCCTGACATGCACAAGGTCCTGGGTTCAATCCTAGCACTGAAGAAACCAGTGTCACCGTGCACACCTGTGATCCCAGCACTACATTAGGGGAGTGAGATGATCACAATTGCTAGGTCATCCTATAATAAGCCCAAGCCAGCCTGAGCTGTATGAAGCCCTGTCTTACAAGAAAAGAAATTTTAAAAAATACAGGCTGTGCAGGGAAGAAATTGCTGAGATCACAGAGAATACTCCTGGCTTCCCTGATGACTATGTTCCTCCCAACAGAAGCCAAGCTACCCTTTCCAGGAACCCTCCCTGGAACACAAGGAAATCCTTCAGCACCTCTCCTTCCCACAAGCCTGAGATCTAATGCTCTGGTTCATGAGAAATCTCCCACTTTCCCCATCTGTAAGAACTGAAGGTGTCCCACACATTGATTAGCAGTGTCTCCTCCTTCCGTAAACCTCCCTACTTACTCAATATGAGACATACTAGACTGCTATGGAATTAGGTCAGGATGGATGGGGAGGAGACTCAGAAGCACCCAGTGCACAAGGAAGATCCTCGGCGCTCTTACAATGAGGATGGGGATCCTCAGGGAAGCCGTGTACTAAGCTGATGAAAATTACCTGCAAAGAGGACTCAGCAGACGGACAGGCTGTTGACAACTGAAACTGAAGTAGTGAATAACACCTCAGGCAATAGAAAAAGCACAAAAACTCCCATGCAGAGTGTGGTAACCTGAACCTGGATTTAGAAGTTGAAGCATGATGACTAGCAGTGAGATTCTGTCCAAAACTAAACCACAACAAAAAAAAACCACCAACAACAACAAAAAAGGTGAAACATAGACTTAGTATGTAGCTCAGATGGGAGAATACTTGCCCAGCACATATGGGGCCCTGCATTTAGTGTCCAACACTAACATAAATTAGATGTGCTGATATGCAAGAGACTAGATGTTCAAGGTTGTCTGTGTCTCCATAGCGAGTTCACAACCAGCCTGGGATACATGAAACACTTGTACTAGTTAGTTTTTACTGTCAAATTGGCACAAACTGAAATCCCCTGGGAAGAGGGAACCTCAATTGAAGGCCTGTCTTGATCAGATTGGCCTCTGTCACATCTGTGAGGAAATTGATTATTGATTGATGTAGGGGGGCCCAGTCCACTGTTGACAGAACCAGTCCACAGGCAGGTGGTCCTGGACTGTCTGAAAAGCTAGCTAGGCACAAAGGGGAACAAGACACTATGCAGAGTTCCTCCGTGTTCTTGCCTCTGATCCTGCACAAGTTCCTGCCCTGACTACCCTCAGGGATGGGCTGTCACCTGAAACTGTAAGCCAAATAAACCTTTTCCTCCCCAGGTTGCTTTAGGTCATGGTGTTTATCATAGTGGCAGAAAGCAACCTAGGACGATGGTATCTCAGAAACAAAACAGAAAGCCCCCACCTCCAATCTTAAAGGCAAGGCCCGCTCTGTGGAATACAACATGCTTTTCTCACTGCTTCACCTTGAGGAGACAAAGCAGGGAAGTGGACATGGTCTCTCTACTCTAAGGATCTTGTTCTTACCTTTCCACAAATAAAGACAAGTAAATGTGGGTATCCATCTGTCCTGCTGTATCTATGACATGCTGTGCCTCTCACTAAATAACACTGGGCCAGCAGGAACTGTCTAGTCATGAGGAAGACCTGTCTGGTCTCCTCAATGGACTAAATGTAGCTTGTCAATCATCCCACTTCCCATGCAAGCACGGTGTACTGTCTAACTGCAGGTGATGAGTCCTACCCCGGTCTCTTGAGAGCCATATGCTCAGGAGTCTGTACCCCTGATGAGTGCCCAAGCATGCTAAAACAGGCTTGTAGCACAGATGTAGGGACAGCACTGACTGTTGCCCTCAATGAGAGGAGATCTTCCCTGCTCAGAGCCTCTGGGGAAAGTGCCTTTGATCAGACAGAGACATTACAGTGACTGGCTGTCTTCTTAATCTGGATTGTGACCTGTGGCATCTCAGATGGAAACCCCTGGCCACAGGTAGCTACTGAATCGATTACATATAATTCGTGTAATTGAAAAACCAGAATTTCTACTTAATTTTAAGGCATTTAAATGTGAATAGTCTCTTGGTAGTAACTCTATACTAGCCCTCACAGACCTGAGTGCTGTCAGGTCTGGTTATGACAGCTAAACTGCTGTTGTAGGCAGTGTTCCATATGCCTGAAGGGACAGAGCCCAATCTTCATGAAGCCAGCCTGATCAAGCATGCCTGTGATATGAGGTCACACATATCCTTACTGGTTAAGGGAGTGGGTGTGAGTGTTCAGCTGTGACCAGAAGAGAAAGAAAAGCAAATCTTGGTTCCTGTGAGCTTGGGAGGATTGACCATAGGAACACAGCCAGCTCTTGTGTGAAAGAACTGGGCACAGCCAGTGCAGGCTGAGCTTGCAATGGGACATACATCAAAGATTTGCTGTCAGCCTGCTCGTGACTCTTTAAGAAGTATCTGCGGACACTACTGACCCTTAGCACAAAGGCTAACTTGTCTTCAAGTTCACCCCATTGAGCTAGGCATGATGCCTGTAATCCCTGTACTCAGGAAGCAGTCTTCCTAGACCAAGAATTTGTAGCTTAGCCCATGCTACATTGACACCCCACCAGAAAAAGACAAATCCCATCTTCCTGCTCATTCGCAAAACGCTGACATAAACAGTAAATGCTCCAGCCTCTCTCTGGAGCCTCTGTGAGACCATATATGTTCCTTGGAAAGGTGACACTGCCAGTTCAGAAAGACAAAGTAAATATGTCTACAATGTCCACTATCGATGAGAAGGGCTCCAAGACACAGGAAACGCAAGTGTCACCTCATCTGTTTATCCTGACAGCCCCATTCCTGAGGAGCCAGACCCACAGTCAGTCAAACAGTAATGCAGGACTCTCTGGAGTGTCCTTCTTGAGCTCTAGACACCATGACAGCTAGAAGGTAATGTGCTCTTTTCGGATGTCCGTGATCCAGAAAAAGGAGAATGTGAACCTTATTTGGAAATTTGGAAACACAGTATTTTACAGATGAGCAGCTTGGCCACAGTGGAACAAGACAGGCCTTGAACGTGGTGTGATCAGTGTCCTTAGCACTCCTACACACAGAGAGAAAGAGACAAGAGAAGAGGAGTAGAGGATGACACGGCAGTTCATGAAGAAGCCTAAGCCTAACATGAGAACTGCTGTCTCGAACCCTTGAGAGCACATGGCCTTGCCAACTCTCTGATCTTGGACCTCTGGTCTCCAGAGCTATGAGACAGGTTTAAGCACCAGGCTGTGATTTACTAAGGTCACCCAGGATCACACACAGAGCATGTTCTTGGCTCACACTGACTTCCCATGCTCTGAGAGGATTTTTTAGTCTCCTACCCTGGGATTTAGCTGCCAAGGTACCACCACCTAACCTACACCTGGTTTGAAGAGTTCAGAAAGTGTCTAATGGTTGGGATGTCATCCCTAGCTGGTTTGGGAAACTAAGACATGCTACATCTCCTTGGTGTGTGTCAACTTTCCCATCTCCCTGTAATATGAATGCACAATGACTTAACCTAATGATCTCTGTGAGCTTTCAAATCCAAAAAGGTGGTACGATATAGGGCAAAGGTCTCACACAGGAACTTTGGAAGACTAGGAAGTTAACCCCCTTTCATGTCAGCACGTGTCCAGGGAGTCGAGAAAGGCCTGGTCTCATTCTCCTAAGCTCAGGGAAACATCCATTTCAGCATGGACAGGCTACTTGTCTAGAACAAACACACTAGCCCTGTTGCAGAGGACAAGCATAAAGTTCCATCTCAATAAGGAGCTTCTTACTCAATAAGTAGTTAGCCTACTCCATGAGTGATGATGTAGACAAACACACTTCCCACACCCATCTCCCTAACACCAAAGCCAGATGCTTGTGACAGGAGAAAATGAGAATGTCATCAACAGAAGAGGACCTCACATATAACCACATGGGAGAATTGATGTCCCATGTCAGAGAAACCCTTCCCAGGCCAACCCTATTTAAGACCCAAGCCACAGTCCACCCACTGTCCCCAAGAATGGAGAACTTACCCACACTGCTGAGGGAGCTGCTGCTCTCCGAGTCTGAGGGCATGATGGACAGGACACTGTAGGTGGAGCCTGGGGACATAAATGAAGAGCAATATGTTACTAACCCAAGGGCCACCACTAGTCCTCAGCCCAAGTTCTGGTGTATTGTTCTGCTGCACCAGGGCTGGGAACCTGGAGTCCAAGTCAACAGGGAGATGTGCTGGGCAGTATCTGGACTCGGCTCAGTCTGCCTACCTTTCTTTTTCACGCTCACACCATGATGCTCTGGAATCTGATCAATGGATAGGGGGATTCCAGCCTGCCAGCTGCCTTCTATCCCACATGACCATCTGAGTCTCAATCCTCAGAATCCATGATGGAAGGACAGAACTGACCCCCCCCAAATTGTCCTCTGACCTACACACAGACACACACACACGGACACACAAACACACAATAATAATAATAATAAATTAGTAATAGCATGGACATAAAGAAGGCTCAAAAGGTGAGAGTGTTTGCCACCAATCCTGATGACCTCAGTCAATCCCCAGGTCCTACATGGTAAAAGGAAAAATACTGCCCTCCCCCCCACACACACTGAATAAATATAATAAGGTTCTTAATAATAAAAAGTAAAGTTACTCAAAAACTTATGAGCAATTACGTCACCAAAACATAGAGTAGCACATTTTGTTTGGTGCCACCCTGTCCCTCCCCCCCCCGCCGCCATGAGGGAAGACAGGAGCACTAGGGCGAGCAGGCACCTAATGCCATTTGTTTCCTGTGTGCACACTCCCACCAGGGTTTGATTTCAAATACTTTCCAATGCCAGGTACAACCTGCCAAGCTCAGGAGCAGCCTACATTCTGGCATGCCGGGTGGGCAGCACTAGGCACACTGAGCACGCCCAGGCCTGCTGGGCCCTGGTTCCAGCCTGTGTGAGGAAGAGGATCAGTCCTACAAAAGGTCCCCTTGCATCAGTGACATTCCTCACTGAGGAGTGGAAAACAAGTGTGTATATTGCTCTCTAAGGCCACAACTGACACAAAATTAAAGGACAAGGCAAACCAATGCCACTGGGAAACTGCACTGGCAGAGGCAGTTACAGAAAAGCATGCCAGGCAGGGGTAGTAGGTTACATAAAACAAGTATGAAGAGGAATGTTTTGTTCCAGGCTGAGCACAGGTTGGGTTTTGCCTCAGGGCTCTGACATTAGAGAGCTGCTAAGAACAGAGTCAGAAGGGCCTGATTCAGAGGCTCCCTTCCCTTCCTCCACGTCTTTTCCTGGGTCCCCAAGACCTGCAGTATCATGAAGGGAAAAGGGGGGGGGGAGGGAGAGGGGAGGGACACAGCAGAGTGGCAGGGTGGGGCAGGAACAGGAAAGGGAAATGGGGAGGGAGACCCAGGGAAGCAGCTAGCTTCCTGGCATAGTGAGGAAACTTCCAGGAGCACAGAGCATCCCAGAAGACAGAGGAGCCTGAATAGGGAATGATGTCCACCTATGAAGATCAGAGGCATCGACTATGGGGGCCTAGTAGGGAGTTAGCCAGACTGCCTATCAGACAAGGAAACAAAGAGGGAGGGGAAACAGGACAACATACCCTGGGGGTGGCAACAACAGGCCAGTGGCCAGCAATAACTAGTGTCTTCGTCACTGAATTTTATAGGTTATCGGAGGAGTCTGGGTTGTTAGCAGGAAGGAGTGGGTCTAGTCTTCCAAGAGGACAATCCTAGGCTGAAATGTGTCCTCTGACATCTCCCCAGCAGTTGATGATGCTGTCTGCAGAGGAGTGGCAGCAGGGGGACCCAGTGCTCTCAAGGCATGACTATCACAGGGCCATTTGTAAGTCATTTCCAGAGTAGAAGAATCAAAAATATTCCACCATTCTAACACACAGCTAAAAAAAAGAAGCTATGTTCATGTTCTACCCCAGTAAACCCTGGCCTAGAACTATGTAACTGAAGCTGACCTTGAACTCCTGATCCTCCTGCCTCTGCCTCCCAAGTGCACTCTGTTTATGCAGTGCTGGGGACTGAATCTGCACACTGGGCAATGGAGCTGCACCCAGCTCTACTCCCAAGCTCTACAATAGGGCAATGCTGTGCATTCCACATCTATGCACTTTTGCATCAGAAAAGGATACGCTGCAAATTATTGTAGCTTCTTACATTTTATTTAGTTGTAATATTAATCACATACATTTACAATGTACAATTGATATTTCAGCACACACGGATGTGCTACATATTGATCATCAACAACTGGAGGTGATGTCCATCACCTCTCATAGTTCTCATTTCTTTTTTCAGTAATTTTTCAAACCCTCCCATGTTCCCTCCTACACCTTGCTCTTTCAAATTCAAAGCCTCTTTTTCTTTACTTGTTACATATGTGTGTTTGTATTGCACAAATAGAACTTGTTCGGTCTGTATGTTACTTACATGCAAAATTTTAAGTTCTCACATAACCAGACCATCCATAGATAGCTGCAAAGAATAAGACTCTAACAACTGGGCTGGAGAGATGGCTCAGAGGTTAAGAGCACTGACTGCTCTTCAGGAGGTTCTGAGTTCAATTCCCAGCAACCACATGGTGGCTCACAACCATCCTTAATGAGATCTGGTGCTTTCTTCTGGTGTGCAGACATACATGGAGGCAAGATGTTATATTCATAATAAATAAATAAATAAATCTTTTTTTAAAAAAAAGACTCTAACAACCATATTTCAGTTCTAAACTCAGGAGCCATCCTTTTAGATTGTGTCTGTTTTTCTCTATGGGAACCAGGAAGGCTGGCCAGCTGATATATAGTTGATTGTTTTGAAAAGATACCTACTTGGGAAAGGCAGCACAAATAAATGTTCCAGTCACATCCTCACAGTGTGTGCTACAGTCAGTCCAGCCTGGTGCTTCAGCCTGCGCCCCCTAGATGCCACTGCCAGAACGGAGCACTTGCTTCTTTCTCTTACTGGCATCCGCAGTGTCCCATCTTCCAGTAAAGCAGCCCACACACACACCACCCCTCCCCACAGCAAATTTCCACTGTTAATTAAGCTTGGCAGATGCCTTTCTTCTGCCCTGCCTCATGTCTTCCCTATCTGGGGGAGTCTATTTCACATCTCTGCAACCAATACATTCCGTTCCCCCTCCCTGCCCCCAAAGTCCTCACTGAGCTATGTGGCCTGCCTCGGGCAGAGTGACATCTTTATCTGCATCTCTGGGAATCATCCTGACCCCTCATCAGAGGTAGATGGCAGGGCTCCTTGCCCTGGCAAGGCTGATGGGTGTGGGGAGTAACTGGTTAAGACTGAGCAAAGCGTAGTTTTAACAATGGTCTCAGAGCCTTGGACATCATTGGGGGAAAGGACCCAAAGACCACTCTGTCTGAACAGTGTCATAATCACTGTCTTTAAAGCCCTATGTGGTCAGGACTGCTAGCAGAAGACAGGGGAGTTAGCTCCCATCCCCCAAACCAGACAGACAGACAGACAGACAGACAGACAGACAGACAGACACACACACACACACACACACACACACACACACACACACACACAGTGTCCTTTCAAAGCTGATAATTTCCTGAGGGGAATTAAATGACATCATCTCCCTCTGGGGTTTCACAATCAAACCTGAAAGGCCAACAGGCATCCCACCTCAGCCCAGCATACTTAGATGTCCTGCATCTGCAGTAGCAATAAGAATATGAAAATTCCCCTGCTGACCAGAAGGGACTGCTGAAGCTACCAGAACCTTAAGGCACCCAAAAAATCTTCTGTGGGGGAAGAACACTCTCTACTCAGAGCCCAGTTCACTGGACACTATAGTCAGCAAAGTTGTCCTCACATTTGCTATCTGAGGGCCAGCGTATGAGATCCTAAACAGACTACAGAAACCCAAATGGCATATGTGGAGACATTTCCACAGAAGACAAGTTTCAGGTGGATGTGTGAGCTTGAGAGTTATCTGTGTGGGTTCTCTATTATCTGAGGAACTGCTTGGGGACCTGGTTAAAGGGTAACTCAAGGTAGGACCTGAGACTGCATTGCTAAGAAGCCTCAGGACATGTGGACAGACCTGTGGTGCAGGACCAAGGGCCAGGAGCAAGGCTAAAAGGGAGAGGGGAGAAGGGTTACAGATGGATGCTTCCACAGAAGACTTAGGAGAAGCAGGTGCTTCTGGGAGACAGCTAACCTAGTAACACTGTGGGACTGACCCTCCACAAGCATTATCTATGCCCTTCAGAAGAGCCTGGGCCTGCTACTCCTGTTTACAGTGTGACTCAGTCCTACTGGGTCACTAAGACCAACTTCAAAGGAACTTCCCGAACTCTCAGGCCCCTGTCAGCAGCCTGCAAGGGCCAGGGCATCCCTTCACCACCCTCCTCCATTTACCTGGAATAGTGAAGGGCTTAGTGACTAATGTGCAAACTCAAAACAGCTGAACTAGCATGCAGAGGTCCCTAACCATCTGGCCCCCTGAGACAGCATGGCCACAGACAGGCCAGCCCCTACTTGGAAATGAGCTTGCTATTCTGAGGCAGCTCTAAAGCCCCAAGACAGCAGGTATCAGCAGCTGGGGCCTGCCCCACCCTGCTGACCTCCACAGCTCACACCTGAAGTACTATAACCCATGTGTCAATCACACCCAGATTCACGCTTGTACCTGCAGAGCACAGTCAGCTGAGAGGAAACAGGTTCAGAAGTTTCATAGACCGCACAACTACTAGGAAGGTCAAGAGAGACTCTTTCCCATGTGAGCCTGTAGGCCAGAGGAGATGGGGGTGACTAGAATACAGTACCAGCTCCCCTGGACTTATCTCCCTAATCCCACCTTTACCTCACCCTCACGATCTCTGGGTGTCCATATGCTTATGGTAACAAGGCAATGCTGGGAATGCTTCCCTTGCAAAGGTCCTGTGAGGATCAACTGAATTACTCCACAGAGTGTCTGAAACAACACCTGACATGGCCCCAAGCGTGAGCTGTTGAGCTTAGATTCTGATGAGTCAGGCTGAAGCAGGCCCTTCCAACCCTGCCCTTGTCCACTCCTGAATCACCTATATGGAAGGCTGTGACAGAGATGA